TTCATTCAATTCAGTCATCATTACATTCAATGCGTGCCACAGGACACAGGGTTTACCTTGAAAATTGAAAATGTATAGTTAGACTTAGGTAATGTTTTTATTAACTTAGCCCAAAATTTAGCTCGGAATGAAGCCCTTACATACCTGGCCGGTCCTAAAATTAAAATAAAACAGTAGGGGAGACCAGTCTGAGTTGTAACAGAAGAGAGTTGTAATATTGTAGATTTTTTTTGGATTTATTAATTATCGATCTTGTAACAGTGCGCATTTTTAGTATAAGTAACACTCGTATTCACAAACATCACTATAAGGTCTCACAGTGCACGCACAGGGTGAAACATTAACCAATCACAGAGCTCTATTCGACGCTGTGCGTTCGATTTGCTGATTCACAGCAAGTATTGTATGTGAATACGGGCGTAAGTCTCTTCTCTTCGTCTTAATTGGGCACTCTTGTCAGAGTGGTCGTGGTTGCGCTGACGAGGTACATGGTGGGTTGATGTCATCTCCGAGGGTAGCTCTCCTGGCGATGTGCTTCCATTTCTGACGGTTAGAGGCGTCGCGAGTACACTGGACCATGGTGGACTCAGTAGCCTTTGCGATTGCGTCTATCAAGCGGGTTGGCGATCGGCCGCGTGCTCTCTTGCCTTCCACCTGGCCCTAAATGTAGTTTAAGGCTTAGTTGCACCACTTAACTTTGACCGTAACTATGACGATAACAGATGCTTTTTGTATGGAGTTTGACAGATTTTTGACGTTTGTTAAAGTTTAATTATGATGGTGCAACCCAGCCTTAGTCTCGAGCTAAAAAAATACCGTTGTTGCGAGCTCACTGATAGTTATTAGGTTTCCAAAAATCGATGTTACAACTCTCCTTTGTTACAACTCACCTAGGTCTCCCCTACGAACCTTTTTCGGTTCCCAGAACTCGGTATGTAATACAATAAGTTTGGGTAAACTTGGATAGGATTATTAAATTAAAATAAGACCTGAATGAAAAAGAATTCAGCAAATATTTGTACACAGAGAAATGTTAAAAAGTCGTAAAAATGTAGGAATTGGGAACAAGGTTTGGTTTTTATTTATTTTATTTACAAACCTACTCAAAGTAAAATATTTTAAACTTTTTAGAGGAAATAATTTATGAGCAAATTAATACACGAGTAAGTATACAGGGTAAATTTTGTAAGGCCACCTGGAGGGAAAATATTCTTAATACTGTAGATAGAAAATTTAAGTTGAAGAAAACATTCATTTTTTGGTATAGGTATTGATGAATTTTCAAAAAACAAATCGGAAATCTTTGAATGCAGTTCTAATTATTTTCAAAAATAAAAGAATGTTTTCCTTGAGTAAAATTTTCTATCTACAGTATACTCATTATGGAGAGAACCTTTTCACCAGGTGGTTTGATAAAATTCCACCATGTATAACTGATAACTAAACAAAATAATAATATGTCTCCGAGTATAGAAGTCATATTATTTTGTTCAGTACATTTTGTCACAATATTATTTACGACTCTTTACTGTTTATAAAACAGGGAGTGAACTGATGTTGAACAACAAAAATGCTTAAATAGGTACGCTACTTCAAACAAATTGCTTTGATCATTCAGAACAAAATTATACTGTAACGGGCGTACATATCATTTATGTAATTGTGTTTGACTACAAAGAAGTAAAGCTCAAAGCTTGATGGCCTGATAAAGGAGGAATAAATTATAATGTACATAACAGAAGCTTTTGGCATAAAACCATGTAGAACGGGTTTAAAAATGTATAAAAGACAATGCCGGAAATTGGCGTCTTTTTTTTTCGCGCGGCCATCGACCAAACTTTGTTTTTTGGTTACAAAATAGTGTAATAAACCAAACTTACTATGACATGTATACCTCTAAACTCAGTCTGAACTGAGTTACGAGCATTAGAAGTTTGATGATTTTCATACTAGATTTGCTTTTGCGCGCAAATTTTTGTAAGAAATTGCAACAAAATAGTGAGATTGTATGTGTAAACAAACAATATCATCCATTAAAGGCTCCAGACATCAGTATGGAGCAGAATCAGCGCAATAAAAAAATATCGCAATATTTTGATGCAATTTCTTACAAAACTTGCGCAAAAAAAGCAAATCTAGTATGAAAATTATCAAACTTCTAATGCTCGTAACTCAGTTTAGAGGTATACATGCCATAGTAAGTTTGGTTTATTACACTATTTTGTAATAAAAAAACAAAGTTTGGTCGATGGCCGCGCGAAAAAAATAAGAAGCCACTTTCCATACAAAATTGCCATTTTATAGATAGTTTCATCCACGAAGACGCGCCCCACCATTCTTCCACCATGATTGAGTATTATCGGTACACGCTAAATTATTCCATGAGTGCACACGCACACTAAAATGATGACACTCGGATTGCTCGGATCAAACTCCCGCACCCCGCGCTTCCCTCGACCTAAAATTGGGGGGGCGCGTCTACGTGAATGGCACGTTCTGTATCTAGTCTGTTGTCATAATAAGAATGTTAACAGCATTGTTGTGTTCGGGCTTGATCATCATAACTATCCATTATGTAAGCTGTGCAGGTCAGGAGCTTCCACCTTGTGGTAGAAAAGTGTTCGTTCATTCGTTCGTTTTAGCCGAATGACGTCTACTGCTGGATAAAGGCCTCTCCCAAAGATTTCCACTTTAGTAATTGTTTTTGTTCCACTTGAGTGGCAGAGGGCGGGGCACACAGCTCGCAGAGCTGATGGCCGCTGGGGCAGAAAAGTTCTCGAGTGGCGACCACGAGCCGGAAGACGTAGTGTGGGCAGGCCACCCACTAGTTAGACCGACGATTTAGAGAAGGTCGCGGGAGGTGCCTGGAGGCGGGCGGTGTAGGACGGGTGTTTAAAAAACTAAAACTCATAGAATTATGCAAGTAGGCTTTAAAAAAGCACTTTTACACATCCCAGTATTAACCCTACCACTGCTTCAGGACAATAAATGGGCCAGCGCTGAGAAGAAGCAGCGCAAGAAACTCAGTCACTATTGTCAGCCTGTGTATAAAAGTGTGTTAAAAAAATATTTTTGACAAGTTTCAATTTTAAACAAACAAACGTGGGTTCTAGCCTTTTATACTAACGGGCTCACAGTTTCTGTACTAAAATCTTCTAGTTATGTGCCAAGTCGTACCTACAAGATATTCAGTACCCTACAGAGAATTAATTTTATTACTGAATGGGATGTGTGATATCGCCCTCCCACAGCCAAGTTGGGACTTCATCCCTTTTATGTCCTGATATAATTTTAGTATGTAAAATACATGGCTAGAATTGTAGGATTGTATTAGTTGAATAATAATCTTGTGTTTGAATAGAAGCAGTGTTTTACTTGAAATTACAGCTAGCCAACCTTAGTAAAATTTAATATTTGAGTATGTTAACAGTAATCATTTGTCAAACTCGTCAGTTTGTTATCTGTACGAGTATGTTATCTGTATTATAGTTTAAATATAAATGTAACAACTTAGCTTTGACCCGAATAAAAAAATATAATTTTGCACAATGTTACTTTTAATTAACTACTAGGACTAAATCCTCCCTTTTGTCCTGAGTTAATTAGAGAGGGACGTCCTTCTACAGTTGATAATATTGTGACAAAGGTAACCTACGAATATTTCTTTTAATCCCTCAAGCTAAAATTTATAAATGTTTGTGAAAAAGCTGATTTTAACGTACGCGGTTTTTATCTCAAAAATTTTAACTCAAAACTCGTTGACTCAACAGATTTCTATTATTATTTTTGCCGAACTTGACTCTGTAACTAACTTTTCATGCAAAGTTTATAACTTAGTTATAATTGGTTGGATTGTATCAGCGGTTTCGCTGTAGATTCTTCTAGATGGAAACATAATATGAAAATATTGAATTTAAATTACGCACATTTAACCCTTAATTACGCGCATAAAGAATCTTACATAACTGCTCGCATGGGGTCACAGATGACCCCAAATTGTATGAGTAGTTTTTAATACATACTGAAATTTTATAAGTAAATGAACTATATTATTATAAAAATGCTTTATTTATTATTTAATGTTTAGGTAATAACATGAATTTCTCACTAATTATACAAAAACAAGCTAAATTAAAATAATTGTCAATAATTAACAATTTGTACTTAGGTATACTGAGATCATAGGTAATATTAGTATTTTTTAGGAACTCTCGGAATCATTCTTGTTACACTGTTGACAGTATATTTCAGAGTGATCATTGCACACAAATCTTGTACATTTCTTGCATTTTCGATTCACTTGATTGTGCGGAGGATTGCTCGATCTCATTAGCGCTATCATGATCACTTTTTGTTATTTCATCTAACTCTGGCTCAGAACTCGACCCTCCAACTTCTTCTTCATCAGAAACATCTTCCAACCATTGCACAATTTGCTATTTTTTCCTATCTCTACTAACTCTGAAAAAAAAAGACAAAGTAGTAGTAAAACTGAATTTATCAATATTTTTATTGTTTAGAGCTGTAAAAACACATTTATAACAAACATTAATTAACTGAATATACAATAACACAAATATTATTCATAATACACAAAATAAATACATAAAACAAAAAACTTACCACTTCCAAAAAAGTTACGTAATTACTCGCATGGGGTCACCACTCAAGAGCGCAGCGACGCATCCTTCCACTCCCGTGAATTAGTCGCTATCAAAATACAAACTAAGACGTGTTTTATGAAGCTACTGGGGGCGCGGAGAAAATCGGGCCGCGCCAAGTGCTTCATTTTTGAATCCGAAAATGCTTTGACCCCATGCGACTAATTAAGGGTTAACGTAGATTTAGATTTCACAAATTAACCCACCTAGTTTTGCAAGAAAAATTAACAATAACTTTACACAAATCAAAGAACTCTGTAAGGTGTCTGGTAATCCATGTATCTTAGTTGTAAAGTGTATAAAGATGTGTAAATATAGAAATAAATTGTCTATTTCCAGATGTTTCGGATCAGAATCCGAAGAAATCGTCAAGCAAAGTCGAGGAAGAAAAGGAAGAAGACAAAGGGCCGCATCGACAAAAGTTAGGCCTAAGTAAGTAGAATTATCTTCCTAAAACATTTTCATCTTATAGAAAATTATTGATAACTAGCGGCCGCCTGCGACTTCGTACGCGTGGATCCCGTTTTACCCCCTTCATCTATCTTACGCGGTTTAGATTTTTTCATCCAAATGTTTTTTCCCTCTAACTCCCGTTCCCGTGGGAATTTTGCAATATCCTGTTGTACTAAGCTTTAAGTTTACTAAGGTACCTGCATGCCAAATTTCAAGCGTCTAACTTAAGCGGTTTAAATTTTCATACAAAAGGATTTTCCTGCTAATTCCCGTTTCCATGGGAATTCCTAAGTATACTATAACCTGCCCAGGAGTGCGAAGAATAATTGTACCAAGTTTTTGTTTCTATAAGGAACATACTACAGACAGACAGACATACAAAAATTTTACTGATTGCATTTTTGGCATCAGTATCGATCACTAATCACCCCCTGATAGTTATTTTGAAAATATATTTCATGTACAGAATTGACCTCTCTATAGATTTATTATAAGTATAGATTTCTCCGCGTGATCGAATCAGAAATGAGGAGATCCGCAGGTAAACCTAAATGACCGACATAGCCCGCAGAATGGTTAATCGCAGGACGTGACAGTGGGTGAGGCACATAGCTCGTAGAGCTAATAGCCACTGGGGTGGAAAAGTTCTCGAGTGGCGAAAGAGCTCCCACTAGGTAGACCGACGATCTGGTAAAGGTCGCGGGAGGTGCCTGAATGCGGGCGGTGCAGGACCGGTCGATATGGAAATCCTTAGGGAAGGCCTTTGTCAAGCAGTGGACATCATTTGGCTCAAACGACGACGAACGACAAGTAGAATTATCTTTCTAAAATACTTTCATACTAGAGGAGGGTTTGGGGGTGAGCCTGGTCATCCCAGTCAGCGGGCATGACCGAAGCATTTTGCCGATGTAAAAAAGTATGGTATTTTTTTTATCCACAACGGTAAGTGACGGTCAGGCCGAATTTAATCGGTTTTGTATATTTATCCACTAAAATAACGAATAGCTTTGATCAGCTGTATAATATTTGTGTATCAATGCTTCCATTTATGCAATTTCAAACGCTATCACAGAGAATACTGTCTTTTCACTTACACGATTTTGTTTTTCACCTAAAGATAATTTCAAGTCTTATACATATGTAACGTAACATTATCATTAGTATATTAATTAAGGTAGTGATTTATTAGGTACATAAATCATTTGTAGTTGTTGAAATTCGAACATAAGTTATTTATGTTCACACTTAAAAGTAAAAAATTGTGTACAATTGTAATAACTTAATATTACATATTTTTTCACTTTTAATTTATGTCCATACATAAATAAAAGATAATATCAACGACTACTATCGTTTATGATGCTTTTTACACTTTGAATAATCGACATAAATATCTATCAAACAGTAATACACTCGGCTTCAAAGAAATCGCACCTCCCGCGACAATTTTAAAGATTTTCTTAGGACACAATCATGGTGCTCCACCAATATTGGTGTTATTTGAAAGACCAATAAGTAAACTTAAAGAAAAACACATTTATTTTATTTATAAATAAAGGCGCCATAAATGTGACTTGAAAAAAGCCAATGTTGGGGCCCTCCTCTGGGACCATTAGATCAATTTTTATGGTTATAAAACCAAATAATGATCTCACGTGTCATCTTTAACTAATGGATAACAATCAATCCCAATTTAAGAGTTTTATAACGATAAAAGTTGGCTCAAACGTAACTACCTGTCGCTTTAAGAAGAGACACTGGATCCTTCATATACACATTTTTGGGGTAAAAACCTTTCCTTTAATGAAATGAAGTTTAGAACTAGGCTTTCAAACGGTACCAATGTTGGTGGGAAGTGCTTATCGCGGGAGGTCCGATTTATTGGACATCGAGTGTAGTTAACCATTGCGTGTGTAACTGGAACGTATAGGACATAATAGAAAAAAACTTACTAATTGTACGACAAGTTTCGAAGCATTAAAAGATCCATATAAAACACATTCTTACACGATTTTTCTTAGAATTGTTTCGCTAAATGATTAATAAAGCCGCAATTAAATTGTTTATGTTTTACGAGCTCGCTTTCAGTATGAAAAATGTTGGCTCAGGTAATTAGGCTGGAAGATATTGTTTTCTTAATGATATTGCAGTAGCGTGCGGGTAATAGAGGGTTTAAAATTGTAGCGTGATATCGATTCGATTATAATTATCATGCGATTATTAAAAAAATAATCGAGTACCTCTGATTGTTCTTCTTCTTGTTGTGTCGCCAACAAACCTACACAGCGTCAGCCCAAAACTCCGCTACAACAGTGGCGTTGTCAGTAGCGTTAGGGTAAGTCCAGGATAGATGCCCCACTTTTTGAAACAGCTATGTAACTCAGTCAGTAAGTTTTTATCAACAATTTGACCTTAGCATCTGTAAACTTTGGTCTTTCGTCTATGATATTACTATAATTATTTTAGTTTAAGTTATACCGATTCTGAGTAAGTACCATTTTAATTGACCTCTAAAAAGTGGGATAGACGCCTAATGTGGGGGATAGAAGACTCACTGTATGATTGCTTCAAAGGATAGAAGCCTGATGCGGGGATAGATGACACGTTAATACAGTTTTTGAATTCGAAGGATCAAATGCATTTTGAAATCAAACAAGCCAAGTACATATTATTATTTAAGATTGTTTGTTATTAAATACATAGTACATCCACCCGAAAAACATAGCCCTCCTTCTAGCGCAGTCGGGTAAAAAGGTAATTCGAAGAAGGGCATCGTATTTATTATTTTCCTAAGGTTAGCCGTACTACATTCTTTTTTTCTTCTTACTTGCTACTTGTAACAAAAAGAGCAGGTTAGGATAGATGCCATTAGGTGCATGGGACATGGCTCTAAGGGCATCTATACCAAAAAAAAATTAGGCAACTATCCTTTTAGCATAGGATAGGTGCCTTTTTTAATAAAAAATATAATAACACTAAAAATCGAATTAAACATAGCTATCCCGTGTAATTTATAAGATAGTCTATCAAATTATATAAAAATCTGCTTCATTTTACAGCTGACAAAAAAATTATCCATTAAAAGATACTTACCAATTTTATTTCGACGCTCGCTAAGGTTTGGCCGCGGAAGACTTTTGCTCTCACTGGCTAAACGAACGCACTCTTTGATGGTTTGCGAGGCGAAAAGTGGTACGGGGAGGTCCCTTTCTATTATACGTACTATAACTTTAGGCTAAGTTGCTTGGAACATATCAAAAAATCAAAATCAAAATCAAAATTTTCTTTATTTGTTTAGACTAATAAATAGTTCTTACAAATCGTCATTTTGCTCTTAAGGAGCCTCTACATGTCTCATAATCTTTTTACCCTACCAGCGCTTCGAGACCAACATTTGGCAAGTGCTGAGAAGAAGCGCCGCAACAAACTCAGTCACCACTGTCTGCCGGTAAGTTATGCCGGTTCATAGTGTACTTAAAATCGCGGCACCTATCCCACTGGGGCATGTATCCTGGAATTACCCTAATTAAATCTTCCTGCGTGCAGTTGTTTGAGCACACAGGGCATGACATCAACGTGAAATGATGACACCTCTGAATATGAACCATCTTTTGTTATTTTTTGTTTTATTTGTGCAATATACAAAATTGAAAAAAAAAAAAAGCACAAGCATTGCAAATTCATTTTTAAAACACAATGGGTCTTGGGCATGTTCTATTTTTTTATAATTATTGCCAAAGCAATTAACTCTTACTGCCTGCCTGTTTGTTTTTATTTTCATGCTTAAACAATAAACTTTTTAATGGGTAATAAGTTTTGGTATACGAGTAGGATACATTATTTTTATCTACTTTACTACCGGCCGGCCGCGACTTCGTACGCGTGAATCCCGTTTTACCCCCTTAGGAGTTGAATTTAACAAAATCCCGTTTTAGTGAACTTGTAGTTTCAGAGATTTCATGATCGAGTCAGTGAGTCAGTCAATCAGTGACCTTTCGCTTTCATAGATATGGATAGAATAATTACTATTAATTACGATTCTAAATGCACGTGAAAGGCAAATTCTGAACATGTTTTCAGCCCAACTCTACAAAAATAACATGTTTTCCTTTGATGTGATGTCAGTATAATTTTAATTGAAGCAAATGTTCTTAAACCTTAACTTCGATCACGTGAAATTAGTGCTCATGTGTGCCAAATTAAATTGGACTTAATTACAGACCAGTCAGGAGCTACTTCACCGCAGCCACATCAAGGCAGACCAAATTAGACTGGCCACTTGGTCAGGTGTTTCAGTAATTGACATTGTGTTACATTGGAATTAGGTACACTTTGTGACGAAATGAAATCTTAAGCCTAGGCACAGACCATCGATTTTTCGTCGGCCGATAGTTTAGTTGGGCAGTTGATCAGTATGGGCATGTATGGAAGTGCGCACATTACACCGATTTGATTTGACCGATTCTTCATACAATTTAAAATCGGGCACAACTATCGGCCAACTAATGTTGACAGTCTGCGCCTAGGCTAAGTCAAAAATCGCAGTTTGGCAATTCTGAACTTGTTTTAAAGCAACAAAAGATACGAATTTGGCCGCAATCACACCTGATGTTTTAGCTGGACGGATTGTCATCAAGGACCTCAGTTATTACAATGATAGAAAAAGAAAAAAACTTAGGCTTAGTTGCACAACCTAAATTTGACCCTAACTTTAAGGATAACGGTGTTTTTTGTATGGAGTTTACAGATTTTTGATGTTTGTCAAAGTTAACCCAAACAGTGCCTGATGTAAGGAAGCGGCAAGGGAGGGTGCATTTTTTGAAACGTCAACGAGTTCTTCATACTTTTTAAAGAGTTTCCGTTAGACGTTCTGTTATGAACTAAAATAAATATTAATACAGCAAAGTACTCTCAAGTTATAATTTATTGAAGTGCTCATAACTATTCGTATAAAAATAATTTCGGATGTCATAAAAAGATTTTTATA